CAGCAGTAACAGCAGTAGCAGCAGTAACAGCAGTAACAGCAGTAACAGGGTCTAATAAACAGCTCCCTCCACACTGGACACTTGTTAATGGGATAATTAGCTACAACTGGGGGTCATTTTCACCTCACTGACCACCGCAGACCCAGGAAAGCCTGCTGAGTGAACAGGAAGTACTACCTTTGGTCCTGGGGGGGGGGTAAACAGTGCTGTGTTTTTGTGTGAACACCTGCCCCCAGTGGTGTGGTGTGAAAAGAGCTCAGTGCATCTGCTTCCATTCAACACTCACTCCACCTGATTGTCTCTGGAGTGTGTGTGTGTGTGTGTGTGTGTGGGGGGGGTCTCAGTGCAGGATTTCTGTGATTGCCTGTGTGTTTGTGTGAGACCTCCTGCAGTACCGTCGTTGTCCACACTCCTCTGTTTGTTTCCCAGGACCGAGGCATCGGGAACACCTCTCTGTCCACGTTCGGCGTGGCTCAGGCGGCGCTGGAAATCATCCTGATGTTGTATCCTTTCAGTAACAGCCAGTAACAGCCACCCCCCCCCCCCCCCCCCCCCCCCCCCCCCCCCCCCCCCCCCCCCCCCCCACGTCTTTTGTCCGTGGCCGTAGAAGCATCATGCTCCACGGCCAAGAGCAACATTGTCCGACCAGCTTTGTTTGTCCAGGACATACTTGAGTCGGTCACCTTCCGGAAAACACCGTCAGCAGTTTCATCACCTATTATTGGCCGGTGAAAAGGTGCAGATTTGGCCGACGTTAACACAGACGTGTGGACCAATGGTCTTCTTCTGCCCCCAGTGTCTGCTCCTTGATTGATTTACCCCCCCCAGCTACCTGATGGTGTCGTCTGTCGTCGGCTTCTACAGCCTGCCTGTCTTTGAGGGTCTCACTCCCAAGAAGGATGACACAACCATGACAACGGTAGGGGGGGGGGCTTGAACTTGGTCCGTGTTTCCCCCCCCCCCCCCCCTCCCCCCCCCCTCCTGCTGCTTCACTTGATGTCTCCAATATTTGGTTGTGGTTTTTCACAAACACTGGCAAAGAGCAAACTCCTTTGTACATCAGAGGCAGAATGGAGGGTGAGGCTGTGTATTGGAGTGTGTGTGAGGGGGGGCTGGG